ATCCCATTGCTACAAATGGCAAAAGATTTCATTCTCTCTGCATTACAAGTGGTATTCCATGTGCTTCAAACCACTTCTTCTTTATCCATTTGTCATTTGATGGACATTTAATGATATCTTTCCATAATTTGCCTATTGTTGAGAAAGTGCTGCTATAAACATTAGTCAGTCCTATACCATCGGCTCCTGTATTCCTTGGAGGTAAAATTCTAATTCACTTATTCCTGGATCATGGGTGAATCTGTTTTAATTTTTGAGGAACCACACTGCCATTTTTCAGAGCGGCTGCTCCCAGTTTACATTCTAATCAACAGTACAAGAGGGGTTCTGATTTACATCTCACCCAGCATCTGTAGTCTCTGATTTGTTCATTTTAGCCACTCTGGCATGGTACAGGGTATTATCTCAGTATTAGTTTGATTTTATTTCCCCTGATGATGAGTGACATTGGTATCCTTTTCTGTGTACCTATTGACCATCTGAATGTCTTCTTTAGAAAAGAAGTGTCTGTCATTTTTTTTTTTTTTTTTCATTTTCTTGCCATTTCTTCTTTCTGGATTTTTTGGGGTGTGGAGTTGGTTGTTCTTTGTAGATTTTGGATACTAACCCTTTATCTGATAGCATCATTTACAAATATCTTTTCCATTCAATTGGTTGCCTTTTTAGTTTTGTTGATTGTTTCCTTTGCACCTGATTACCGAAGCTTTTATCTTCTTGGGGTCCCAATAGTTCATTTTTAATTCCCTTTGCCTTTGGAATGTGTTGGTAAGTACTGCAGCTGAGGTCAGAGCCTACTTTTTCTCTCTAGGTTTTGACAGTTCCCTACTCTCACATTCAGTTCCTTCATCCATTTTGAGTTTATTTTTATGAATGATGAAAATGGTTTATTTTCCATTCTTCTGCATGTTGCTGTCCAGTTCTCCCAGCACCATTTTGTTAAAGAGACTGCCTTTTTCCGTTGGATATTCTTTCCTGCTTTGTCAAAAGATTAGTTGGCCATACAATGGAAGAAGAATATTGTTAAAATGTCAGTACTACCCAAGCAATCTACACATTCCAATCCCAAGTAAAATTACTTAACCTTAACATTCTTCTCGAAGCTAAATAAACAATCCCTAAAATTTATGGAGACAAAAGACTAAACCAAGGTAATATTGAAGAAAGAAAACAAAAGGAGGAGGCATCACAGTCCCAGACTTTAGCCTCTACTACAAGCTGTGATCATCAAGACAGTGATGACCAGCTGCAAAAACAGACACAGACCAATGGAATAGAGACTCCAGATTTACAATTCTTATTTCCAAACTGATTTGATTATCTATCCTCCTGCCTACCCTAAGAATTTCTATCACTAATAATCTAGGATTTGAAATTTAGAAAACTTTTAATTATAGTCTTATTTTTTCTTGCAACTCTTTACCATTTTACATGTAAGAACCTATTAAGGTTACAAAGGACAGAATCTCTTGTATATAACAGAATGAGGGAGAGTTTTCTTTGGCGTAAATATCTCTGGTTGATAGATAGGGACCTATCCAAGTAACATCTGTTCTGAGCCACTCTAATAACAACCCCCAATCATCTTTCCCAGTCCAGAACACCAGTCTTCATGCCCACACAGTTGTTCAGTTGTAATGATGAACTTTTTCTTTTCATTATGAAACAATAGAAAGGTAAGTGTCCTTAACCCTTAGTTTTATTATCTTCTAATGGTGACAATAGCGCCTGAAGAGAAAAATCACCATTCATGTAGAACTACAAAGATATTAGATTCTTTGGCAGAAGAGAACTAGACAGCTTATTATCAGAATAAAAGGAGAACAAGGGGATAATGTCTCATACATCTTGAAAATATTTAAAGACTCACTAAACCCTTAGTACAAAAGACAATTGTAACACACATCTATGAGTCAAATAAGATTGGTGAGAAAAGTATGGATGATATCGCGATGCTTTCTGACCCATTTTCCCTGATGGCTTCAAATTCTACTAAAGGGGTGTAAGAGTGATTTTAACTGCACAATAATGGCTCAAAATCGAACAAAGCTCAAGACAATTTTTCTTTCTAGAAAAGCTACTTACCGTCTTACACACACCCAAGCGCAGGAGGGAGCTTCCTACAAATAATAAACCTTTATTTTAGAATGTGCAGAGAGTGGGGCCAGAAAAGACCTGTAACTTTTACCTTAGGTGGTTCTGCGTTCTATCAGCTCAGACTTAGGATGGTAGAATAAATATGAGTGGGTTTTTTGCAATGGAGGAATTAAGATTTGTAGTGTCCACATTTTGAAAAGTTCTAGATATCTTAAGGAAAACTGAATTTTTCTGTACATGGGCGTTGTGGATCTCTGTGATACCCTCACTTTGGGGACTGTAGAGTGATGTAACTATAGCTCCATACCAAATTATATTTAATACTTATTACCTTCCAATTTTTTTATTTCAAGTTTTTATTTAAATTCCTAATTAGTTAACACATATAGTAAGTGGGTGCAGGTGGCAGAGAGGAAGGCTTTGAGTGATTCATCACTTAAATACAACACTCAATTGGTCATCTAAAAATTCCCTTTCTCATAATCCCCATCATCAATTTAGCCGCTCTTCAATTTAGCCCAACGCCCATCAACTTATTGGTTGTTCTCTATTGTGCAGAGTTTCTTGTGGACTTTTGCTTCCCTCTGCTTTTCCCCCAACCTTCCCTATCTGTTCATTTGTTTCTTTTTTTTTTTTTTTTTTTTGCAATGTGGATGGAACTAGAGGGTATTATGCTAAGTGAAATAATTCAGGCAGAGAAAGATACCATATATTTTCACTCATATGTGTCTCTTGAGAATATTAACAGAAGGCCATGGGGGAGGGGAAGGGGAAAAAAAGTTACAGAGAGTGAAGGAGGCAAACCATAACAGACTCTTAAATACCGAGAACAGACTGAGGGTTGATGGGGGTTGGGGGAGAGGGGAAAGTGGGTGATGGGCATTGAGGAGGGCACCTGTTGGAATGAGCACTGGGTGTTTTATAGAAACCAATTTGACAATAAATTATATTAAAAAATAAATAATAAAAAAGATTTAAAAAAAGAGTTATAATCCATTACCAGAAAATATCTTTTTAGAGAGCAACTGACAGCCTGTGAGAATAGGACAGATCCAGGATAGGAACTCTATTTATGATAGATCCTGTGTTGGCAAATGAAAACAGCTGTCCCCTGGCACAGAGGAGTACCCAAAAAGGAAGGACAGAAAAGCCCACACACCTCAGACACAATCAACCCTTATTTCAAGCCACAGGGTCCTTACCCGGTATTTCTTTTCTTGTTCAAATTTTTCTTCAAATTTCCTAATTTTTCGCTTGAGGCTCTGGATGTGCTTGGTGAGCTGGGTAATGGTCTGTGGCTCCTTGCCATCACCACAGCCACACCGTGAAGAACTTCGTGGCCTGTAATGATTGCAGGGAGGGAGAGAATCATCAAAAACCATGGTCTTCCCATAAACATTGCTGCTGGTCTACAAACGAAGCTTCCTGGATTATCAGAGAGGATAGGCCATTTTTGATGAGTCTACCATGGTGGTATTTACTTATTAATAGAGACCACTGATCAAAGAATTCCATTATGGGACAATGCTATCAGGGAATTTAGTGCAGAAATGTCAGAATATTATTCTAGGAAGTGCATTTCCTAAAGTTTGGAAGAGGCCAATTTAAGACAAAAAGAAATAGCCTGCTGTGGCATTATCCCTAACAGGTTGCACCTAATAACATTTTTAAAGAAGATATAGATAAGTAGTTAATTTTCTTGACACAACAGAGCCTTGTGAATCTAATAAGAATGGACCCCCACCTCCAGAAAATGCATTGACCCTCTCACATAGCCCACAGTTTACAATAGCAATAATCCACTAACTCCCTCAAATCCATCAATAGACAGCCTGCAAGGTCAGATTTGGAAAATTCATTAATGACAGCAGAAGTTACTAAGGAGAAACTAGGATTCTCTGTACATATTTTCAGCCAAGGGACACTCATTTTAGTTTTGAATCAAAATTATTTGTAGATTTTTTTAAAAAAAGAATGCATAGTTTCACACTTTTTTGGGGGAGTGGAGGGCAGCTATTGTAAGCTGCTACTCTTGTGGAATCTAAGAAGAAATTGAGGTAGACAACTCCCAAGCACTGCCGCAAGCTATCCCTTGAAGCCACTGTTGGGCATGCAAAGAATATTGAGCTTACCAAGGATACTCCTGATATTTGCATAGACATATTCTTACTTAGGACTCTGGTCATTTGACCAAAAATGTTCAAACACGTAAGCTCTGGGGTATTCCTGCATCTCATGACCATTTCCTCCTGAGATGGCAAGACCTGACACGGTATTCCCAAATAGAAAGTACACTGATTCTTGCCATTCATTGCTCAGGTCTTGCGGTTGTATTTGATAGGCATGTCTGCACTATTTCAGACACAGACTTCATTATAGGTTATAAATGTATTTGAAAAAGTGGATGAAATGAAGATAAGGTTTTCTTACATCATAAACTGCTGAGTGCTGGGTGGAGAAGGGGCTGATTCAGGGTCTAAGTTGAATCTCTGGCTTTGGCTGAAGATGGAGCATCGTGGTGACAGCAGTGGGTTATCACCGTCAGTGATGTGATAGAGAAGCCTGCTAGTCCCGACAGACTGGAGGTCTTCTGGTGCACTGTCTGCTTCATTCTGCCCATCTTTGTGGGCTGGTGCAGGGTCTGAGGAAACAAGATAAATCATCAAGATTCAGAAATGACAGAGGCCTTGAGACTGTCATGTTCCTAAGTAAAGATCATAAACATTCATTATAATGTCTGGCTTCTTTGTCATTTCTTCTTTCTGGGGATATGAAAGGCTTTCAAAGTACTGTTATGTTTATTCTCAGAGAAACTGGATAGAAAATATTACAAAGCCACTAACAAAAAAAATGGAAACACAAATTATTTTGTTATAAATTTAAAGTAATGATTCAGTAATGATTCCATTTTACGTAAAAAGCATACATTTATGTGTACAAGTAAGTGCACTAAAATACCAAAGAAGCTACTTAGCAACTACAAAGCATGGAAGAATTAGGAATGATTCTTTTTCTCCTCCAAAATTTTTGTAGCATTTTATTTTTGACAAAAATTAAAAAACAAGAACAAAACAGATTCCAAATCCTGTCTCCAGCTACGTCTGTGTCTGAATTCTATGATTACTCCCCTTTTATTTTTTTTAATGTTTATTTTTGAGAGAGAGAGAGAGAGAGAGAGAGAGAAAGAGAGAGAGAGAGAGAGAAAGAGAGTGCAAGCAGGAGGGGCAAAGAGAGGAGACCCAGAATCCGAAGCAGGCTCCAGGCTCTGAGCTGTCAGAACAGAGACCAACACAGGGCTCAAACTGTTGAACTGTGAGATCATGACCTGAGCCAAAGTCCAATGCTTAACCTACTGAGCCACCCAGGGGCCCAGATCACTCTCCCTTTAAATGAACTCATTAACTTCCCACCTCAGAGCCAGTCCAGAGAGTGGGCACACCTGCACTCTAGAGGAAGGGCAGATAAGTGAGGAATATGAAGACACTGAGTCAGAGTGGCCAGGTGAGACTCTGTACATCAGGGGGCTCTAGACAGTTATTTGAGCAGAAGCCAAAACAAACTCCTTCTCAATTTTGCCCAGCAAACAACTCAGGACAATTCAAGGCTTTCTTTTATTCTTACCCCAAATAAAGAGAAAAACAAATGCTTTCTGGGTGAATAAGCAGAATCTGAAAACACTGACAATCCACTTTTCCAAAATAAACATTTATCACAATTTGGTACCGGATGACTCTTAATCAGGTTTAGAATGGCTCATGTTCTCCAGAGCTTGAAATGCAATTTGCTTTGTGCAACATCAAAGGTCTGATCCCTTGTGTGCTTTCAATTGGCTTCTTCCCTGTTGGGTTTCAGACTGGGAGCCTGGATAATGCCTCCAATGTGCCTGTGAAGCTCACTAACAGCATTCTATCAGTGGCTGAGCTGGCCAGAAGTGCATGAGATGAGGGCTGGTTGAAGAGGTGGGGCCAGATGAACACCAGTGCCCAGGTCTGAAAGCAAGGTGGATAGACAACTCACCACAGGCAACACCCTTGCTAAGAATAATTTACCCAGAAAACACAGTTTGGCAGGAGCCTTAAAGAGTAACAGGAGTAAGAGTTACTAATCAATAAATGTTACTAATCAACAACATATGCCAACAATCACCTTCAAAGCCCACCAGGAGGTATACAGGTGCTTACCAAATCCTTTCAATAAACCATTAGGCCCCCAAAAGAAATGCATTTTATTCATATTACCTGTTTCTGGACAGAATCTTTGGTAATAATGATGGGGAAGAAGAGAATTTTTAGCAAGCACCTGGGACCAGTGTATTTTTGTTGAAATGGGAAAGGTCTGAGGCATTCAGCCCTTCAGCTCAGCTGTAGCCCTAGGGTCAAAATGAACATGAGTCTCTTGGTGCTGCTTTGTAATGCCAAATGGAGGCACTTGGGCTCCTAGCCATTTGACTGAAGTGGAGGCAAGAAGAGAGCTTAGCTTCTGAAACCCACAGGGTCCTATGATGGAACTTCATAAGATCACAGATCACTCTGAATGGCTCCTTTGGAATTGCATTACAATTAAATCCATAAACCTCCATTTACATGGTGTGTGCTTCTGTGGGCACTCATGTCATTTGCTGCCTACTTAACATCCCAAACCCCCTGCCCTAGATTTACCACTAGAGGAAGCAGAGAGCCACAAAGACCTAGAAGCACCAAGCTGAAAACCAACAAAAAGTCAAAAATTGGTAATTTGGTAGTGCTTCAGTTATGTGTTCAAACTCATTATTTGAATTGAGAAGTGGCTTAATTAAATCAGATGGTGCATGTGTGTGGGCACTTGCACACACAGAATTATTGAGCTCCTTGCTCAGAAGAGGCCAGCACAGATTCTGAGGTAGCCATTGCTGCTATCACCCTGGGAATAGAGCCCAGGTCAGCTCTTACAGACCCTGCTCCCCAACAGGGAAAAGCTTACTGCGGTTTCTGATGCTTCTCAGTTGAGTATGTTACTTTGTCTTCCGAAGGACAGGGCTGCTTGCTATAGGGCCCCTCATGTGATGCAGTGTGATTTAAAGGAAGGGGCCTAGGAACCAGGAATTTTGGTGTGCTTATACTTTCTTGTGAAGTTCCAGGGACTTCCTGACCTCTCTCAGTGTCTTTGTTTGGCCCATCTTACAGAGCTGTGACAGGAAAGTAAAAAGAGTTTGCTGCACATTGTGCCTGGAGTTAACAGTATTGTGCCGTACACTTAAAAAGTTGTTAAGAGTATATATCTATGTCAAAAAAACAGATCTTCAGGTAAAAAAAAAGTGTAGATCTCATGTTATTACCACAATTAAAAAAAAACCTATTTCTTCTTTTCTTTTCTAAAAGAAATCTTATTTTCTAAAATTTCTATAATGAATAAATCTTAATTTTATAGGAGGAAAAAACAATAAATGTTAATATTTTTAAAAAAGTTTGAAAGAAAATGAGCATTCCTGAGAATGTGAGAAACAACCCCAGGGATGCCACAACAGAGAGCAAAGATTATGAGTTGGAGCCTCAGGTCTACCATTTGTTTAGAAAGACTTCAGAAATGTTGGGCCTTTTTAAACATGGATTTTTTTTTCACTTGTAAAATGGAGAGAATGATGGTACCTGCCTCACAAGACTAAGTGAGGATGAAGATGAAATGAAATAAAACTATATCTTCTACAAAATTTTTGCTCACACACACACACACACCCCAAACTTATGATGGTTGAATTTATGATTTTTTGATGTTACGATGGTGTGAAAGTGATAACATTCAGTAGAAACCATACTTTGAATTTTGAAATTGGATCTTCTCCTGGGATAGCTTTGTGTGGTACGATACTCTCTTGTGATGCTGGGTAGTGACAGTGAGCCACAGCTCACAGTCAGCCATGCAGTCACAAGGGTAAACCACCAATACACTTAAAACCATTCTCTATACAGCCATTTTTGTTTCCACTTTTGGTACAGTGTTCAATAAATTACATGATATTCAACTTCATAAAATAGGCTTTATGTTAGATAATTTTGCTCAACTGTAGGCTAATGTAAGTGTTCTGAGAACCTATTCATGTAGGCTAGGCTAAGTTAGATTGCTTAGTAGTCAAGGTGTATTTCATGGATTTTTTAAAAAAGTTTTTTTTTTAATGTTTTTTTTATTTCTTTCGAGAGAGAGACAGAAAGAACAGAGTATGGTGGCGGAGACAGAGGGAGAGAAAGAATCCCAAGCAGGCTCTGCGTTGTCCGTGCAGAGCCCAACATGGGGCTCAAACTCACGAACCATGAGATTATGACCCGAGACAAAATCCAGAGGCAGACATTTAACCTACTGAGACACCCAGGTGCCCCTCTGTGAATTTTTGATTTACAATATTTTCAGCTTACAGTGTGTTACCTGGATGCAACCCTATTATAAGTCAAAGAAAATCTGAAGATCTGTATATAGATATAGAGTAGAATATGTACAAAAGAGTACATATTTTATATAAATTAATATATTTACTATGTATTTTAAATGGATAGATAAAATTTCAACCTATAATTGTTTTTAGTTTTTAATTTTGGCTTCATCTTAAGTTATGGTGGTCAAGACATAATGAATTTGATGTGCTAGTTACTATTTTTCTTACTAATACACATTAAAATAAATTTCTAGTAAAAATAACAATATTTGCCCATGGACCTTTGTCTAGCATATTTGGTGAAACACTGAGATAAGGCATAGAAGCTGCTAAACATAGTAACCATGAAAACCATCATTTTATAGTAATTATCATCATCAGAATAAGGAACTGAATATTATCTTCTCTTATTGAACATGAATTATACTCAGAATCCCTGTGGGGTTAATAAGGGAAATGAGAACCAATATACCCCTCAACATATTGTCCCTCCTATCAGTTCTTAGTTATAAATAAGAATAATCATATGTAATATTTCTGGAGTAACTGACTTATTTCTTCAAACCTGTAAGAGTTTTTGCATGTATTTAATTTTCATAACAACCACATGAGGCTGATAGTAATATGATCTCCATTTTAAATTCAGTATGCAGGGTGATATAAACTATGTTAGTTCCAGGGAGGGTTTGACCAGTGTCCATGGTAGAAGACTCCACATCTCTGACCCTGGGAGCCAACGGATGTTTCCAGTGGCCCATTTACTGAGCAGTAGGGAACAAAGAAGAGAAATAATTATCATCAGTGCGTGAAGGCCAAGAGACCACTTCTGATCTTGCTGCAACCCCAGACAGAAACAGATGTTGTATTATAGCTGTTTAATAAGTCAGTCAGATTTAAAAATATATCTAATATGAATTTTTAAGCAATTAAAAATTCAAATAAATCTCTATTTGCAACCATTTGAGATGTACTGTTGAAATATAATTGAGTAATAAATTAGCCATAGTCTTGTGGATTTGTTAATTTGCACTCTTGGGTTTAGCCTTCATGGTGGGCTTTTATAGGTAGCATTCAGGTACATTCCAAAATGCCAAATGTCAGCCTTTATTGGTTTTAAAAGCTAGATAAGTCAAAAGTATGTCCATAATTCTAACAAGGTACAAGCATTAGAGTTCTCAGCCAGCCTCTCCAAAACAACTGAAGGATACACAGTGGGTTCAGTTTTAGGTATGTTGAAT